ACACACACACACACACTTGGGTACGTATTTTTTCTATTTAATAGTGATTTATATTTAGAATAGACAATGAAGAATATAAAAAAAAGTAAAGAGGATAAAGTACAATTCTTCTACATAGGAAATCAAGGCTCATGCGTTATGTATTTTTCCAGTTTTTTCAGGTCTATATGTTTATGTTGTTTGATACTACTGTACATGATTTTCCACTCTGGAATTTTCATATATGTTGTTATTGTTATGTGCCATTGAGTCGCCTGTGACTCATAGCGAACCTACACACAATAGCTCTGAATTCTGAGCCAGTCTCACTGTCTTTGACACACCTTGCCCACATTGCTCCAAGCACTGTTTCAATTAGTCTCATCCAGATCTTCCTCTACTGCACTATCCCTCCACCCTTCCAAGCATGATGACCTTCTTCAAGTACTGGTCCCTCCAGGCAACATGCCCAGAGTATGTTAGACGGAGCTTCAAAATCCTTGCCTCCAAGGAGCAACTTAGTCCCAAGACAGACCTGTCTATTCTCTTGGCAGGTAGAGTAAGCATTTCTTCAGGATATTAACAAGTCTTAATTAGCTGTGTCTCCAAAGCCCAAAAAATGTTATAATTATTAAGCAGTAGCCAAGCATTGAGCTCAGAGCTGTACACATTACCAAAAGGGACAGTGGTAAGGAATTACATTGTCAGCCCAAAGCACATGGTTCACATCCACCATCTGTTCCATGGGAGAAAGTTGGCAGTCTCCTTGTGTGCAGCTTACAGGCTCTGATAAACCACCTGAGGGTCAGCCGTGAGTCGGTTCCGACTCTGTGATACCTAAGAACACCCAACAGAGGTGCATTAGCAAGTCTTCATTTCTCAGCATCCTAGACATCGTAGCTAGAACTGATGGATCTAGGGGTAGGATGGGTACACATACCTCTGCCATTTCTACACGATCTCCAGTTAACCTGACCCCTCCCTCCATTGACCTAAGCTGCATTCTCTTTTTCACTCCTCCCCGCCCAGTTACGAGAGAAGCAAGTGTATGTGGAGAAAGTGGAGAAGTTGCAGCAGGCCCTGACCCAGCTGCAGTCTGCATGTGAGAAGCGGGAGCAGATGGAGCGGAGACTGCGGACATGGCTGGAGAGAGAGCTGGATGCACTGAGAACCCAGCAGGTAAGGGCAGACCAGTGGCCAGACAAGTCCATTCACAGATGTAGGGCATCTGCCGCGTGCCAGTCACTACACTCATTGTTGAGGACTCAGGACAGCAACTCCAGGGGAGTCGGGCAGTCCAGTCACTGCAGAGTGACCCATGTCCTTACAGACAGGAAGTCACACCTGACTTGAGATTAAGGGATGGGGAACAGGATTTTAGATGACTTCACAGAAAAGGACATTTGAGCTGGTCTTAGGAAGGTTATTCAATTGGGCATTTAGGGGGAGGAACATCAAAGGTAAAGAATGATTGTGTAAAGGAGGAAAGTGTGAAACAGTGTTAATATGGTCAGGTCAGATGAGTGCGGTTAGTGAGGACGTGTTTACCTGGTGAGACACCTGCAGTCAAGTTGAAAGACTGGACATCTTCCCATCAATCGCTGACATCCAGATCATTAAGCTGGAGAAGAATGTGGCACAGAGGATCTGGGAGGGAACCCTCCGGAAGTATCAGAGAAGAGCTAAGGAAGCCAATCCCAAAGACTTACTCTGAACCAGGGTTGTAAGTACAATGGGGATCTATGAATGATGAATTGAAGAGCTACTAAGGAGCAAGCGGGGTTTTTTTTTGGGGGGGGGTGCAATGAATTATGCATTGGGCAAACTGATTAGTTAGCTCGTTAGTTGAATCTGTCAGCTATTCTGTGGGAGAAAACTGAGGTGGTACAATTCTGCTCTGTCCTACAGGGTGGCTAAGAGTAGGAATCAAGTCTAAGGCAGTGGAGTAAGGGAAGAAGTCAGAATTCGCTCAACAGCAGTGGATTTGGTTTTTATTTTCTTAAAGGGTGAAGAGACTCCCAAACTAGTAGAAACAATAAACACCCTTGACTACTCACCAAAAGTGAGACAATTTAAGTCCATCTCGAAGTATCTCAAAGGAAAGGCCTTTGAGAGTCTGCCATTGAAAGTTCTGTGCAAACAGTTCTCACACACACTTGAGCTCCAACCACCATGAGTCCCAAATGACTCGACAGCAGCTAGTTAACTGCAGGAGGGTGAAATTCAGAAGGCATGTTGATTTTCAGAAGGGAAAGAGAGGAAGGGGTTCAGCAAGACCCCTAGGAAATCATAGTGGTGATAAGTATTCTTTCTGTCTCTCCTCTGCTGGTCACAGCTGTTACTGTAACCTCACTATGAATGCACACTGAGTAAATCACCCCATTGTGTGCCTCAGCCAGGGGACGAGGGCACAAGACTGCTGGTATCTGTACCAGGCTGGCCACCACCGTCAGCCTGGCCTTGTATGTCACCGGCCAGTGTGGTGGGAGCAGTCCCTGTGTGGCTGAGGAAGGCTGCATGCTAGATTGGGATGCCAGCAAAACAGCAGCCGAGCTCTCTGGGATTATTTACTGAAGAGAGTATAGTGATGGTGGTCAGAACACTTGAAAGCGTGCAGCAGGCCACCTCAGCCCAGTCCTCTTAAGCTCTCACTTTGTAGGTTCACAGAGTTCCCTCTAGGGAGCTCTGAGGGCTTCTTGTGGTTAGGTGCTGTCATACGACTCATAGTGGTCCTGTGAACAACAGACCTGAATTCCATCCTAGACTGCACCATCCTCACTGTCTCTGATACGCTGGAGTTCATTATTGCAATCACCATGTTAGTCCGTCTCAATGATGACTCTCCTTCGCTGAGCCTCCACCCTCCCAAACATGATATCCTTTTCCAAGGAATACTCTCTCCTAGCAACATGTCCAGAGTATGAGAGACAAAGCTTTGTCATTCTTCCCTCCAAGGGGCACTCCTGCTGCACCTTTTCCTGTCTAGATATACCTGTTCATTCTTTTAGCAGTCTGTGGGATATTGAGTACTCTTCTGCAGCACCACAACTCACAGCTGTCACTTCTTCTTCTGTTATTCTTAATCATTGTCCATCTCTCACATGCATAGAAAGTAACTAAAAAGACCATGGCCTGAATCAGGCACATTTCAGTCTACATACTGACATTGCTGCTTTTCTGTATTTTGGAGAAATCCCTGACAGCGAACTTGCACAAAGCAATACATCTCTTTTTCTTCTTACTGCTGATACCAAGGGTGTTGCTTGCAGGTCCAAGCAAGATGAAATCATTAACAGTTTCTATCCTTTCTCCATCTGTCATATGTTGCCCAATGGCCCAGTGGTAAGGATCTTTGTTTTCTTGATGTTAAGATGCAACCCATGTAGAAGGCTTTAGATTTTTATTTTTTGCAACAAGTGCTTCAAGTCTCTCTCACTTAGAGCAAACACTAGTTTCACAATCATAGAGTCCAGCTTTATGAATTATTTGCTTAGCATGCAGACTGAATAAGTATGGAGAAAGAATACAGCTCTGATGCAAAACCTTTCTTATTTTAAAGCATACAGTATTTTCTTGTTGCTTTCAGATAACAGCTTCTTGGCTTAGGTAGATTACACATGAGCACAATTGAGTGTTCTGGGATTCCCATTCTTCTCAGTGTGAGCCATAGTATGTTGTAATCCACACAGTCAAATTCCTTTGCATAGTCAATACAACTGAGACATTCTTCTTATATTCTCTGCTTTTAACAAGGATCTATCAGACATCAGCAATAATAGCTCTAGTGCTATGGCCTTTTATAAATCCAGCTTGAACTTCTGGTAGTTTCCTGTCGATGGACTCTTCCAGTCGTTTTTGGATAATCTTCAGCAATATTTTGCTTCCATATGATATTAATGATGTTATTCAATAATTTCCACGTCCTCTCAGATCATCTCTCGAGAATAGGAACAATTATGGATCTCTTCCAGTTAATCAGCCAGTAAACTGTCCTCCAAATTTCCTAGCATAGACTGATGAGCAAGTCAAAGAGTTCACCTGTAGTTGAAAAATGTTAGTCAGTATCCCATCTATTCCTGGATCTTATTTTTTTGCCAGTGTCTTCAGTGCAGCATGAACTTCCTCCTTTGTTACCATTGGCTTTTATTCAGATGATACTTCCAGAAATTTTTCAGTGACAACCAGTTCGTTGTGGTACAGTGACTCTGCATAATCCTCCCATCTTCTTTTAATGTTTTCTATATCATTCAAGATTTTGCCCATGGCATCTTTTAGTATTGCAACTTGAGGCTTGAATAAAATTTTTAGGTTTTTTTTAAGTGGAGAAATGCTGAGCAAATTCTTCCCTTTTTTATTTTCTGACTCTAGCTCTTTGCATATTTTGTTATGATGCTTTGCTTTGTCTTTTCTAGCTGCCCTTTGATATCTTCTGTTCAGCTTTTGTTCTTCAGCATTTCTTCCCTTGTTTTGACTTTTCGTTGTATAATGCAATTTTCAGTTTCTTCTGACATCTCCTGACAGTTTTGGCTTTTTCTTTCTCCTCTGTCTTTGTAATGACCTTTTGTTATCTTCAAGGGTGATATTCTGTTTTTCCCCCCTCTTGATTTCATTCTACAGCTCCTCTTTTCTTTGATCATTGGTGATCAGTGCCTCAAACCTATTCTTAGAATAGACTCAAGGTCATATTTTGCTTCTTGTGGATTTGTTTTCATCTTCTTCAGCTTTAATTTGAACTTGGCACGTAAGTAATGGATGGTCTGTTCCACAGTCTGGTTCTGACCCCAGCTATTGAGCTTCTCTAGCAATTCTTTCTGCAGATGTAGTCATTCTGATTCCTGTGCTGACCATCAGGTGAAGTCCCAAGTGTAAAGTTTCCATTTGTGTTTCTTAAAAAGTATATACTGTAAATAAATCGTTGGATGTACAAAATCCTTTATTTACATTCCTTCTTCATTTCTGTCACCAAGTTCGTATGTTCAAAATACCATTGCTTTCTTATTGTTCACAACTTTTGCATTTCAGTCTCCGATAACTATTAATGTATCTGCATTGCATGTTTGATCAATTTCTGACTGTAAAAATTAATAGAAATCCTTAATATCGTTCTCTTTGACTTTAATTGTTAGTGTACATATTTGAATGCTAGTCGTGTTAACAGGTCTGCCTTGTATGCATATAGATATACTGCTATCACTCACAACATTGTACTTCAGGACAGACCTCGAAATGGTCCTTTTCGTTATCAATACCATATCATTCTTCCCCAGTTTTTCATTCCTGGCAGAGTAGATAATAAGATCATTTGATTCAAAGTCAGATTCATGCCAGTCCACTTCAGTTCTCTAATGCCTGGAATGTTGATCTTTATGAGCTCCATTTTCTTTTGACAACTTCCAGTTTTTCTACATTCATAGTTTTTATATTCCATGTTCCAGTTATTAACAGTGGTTTGCAGCTCTTTTTCTCATATTCATGTGACTTCCCATCTGAGTTTTACCTCTGATACGATAGCTACCTGCCTCTCTCCATTGTTATTAGAATTTTCAAAGGCCTGATGTTTCAGAAGTAGATGGTCAGCCCTGCTTCCAGTCTGTCTTGTTCTAGGAGCTCTGCTGCAACCCGTCTGCCACAGGTGACCTCTGTGGCACTCAACACACTGGTGGCACCATTTGCAGCATCACAGCATCCTGCACATTACACCAGTACAGCAGCTGACAAACAAGTGCTGCACCAGCAAGAGCAAACAACAGACAAGCAAGCAAGAAAACACTCATCTACAAAGTAGTAAGCAGCATGCAAAACAATTATCAATATAACTAACTGATAGATAGTTGTTGTACCTCTTTAACAGCCAACTGTAAAGACACTCCAGAATACAAATAACCTGGCACAGGATACCCTTTTCTGGCCCCAACTGAGGCACCTGGTGGAGTGGTAGGATGGGGACTTGGATGTGGGCAGTGGCTCAGGTGGATCTTTGGTGCTGCCACATGACTGCCCTTGGGCCACCTCGACTCTCAGGCCTCCCATCCAGACCTGGCTGTGGAGGGGCTGTCTGTGTAGGTGCTCACAAAGATCAGCTCCAGGCCTGCCACCTACTCTGGGTAGATTACTTCTCCTTAGAGCGTCTCTTCTGAGTGGTGTGAAAACACAGTCAACTCATCATCGTCATTCTCTATCAGAAGGATAAAATGTGGCATTAGGACCTTGAGAAACTGTATTTCTTGTTCATTGTGTGCACCTCATACCTGCTCCTCAGTTCTTCAGACCCACAAATGCAGAATCTCAACAAATACAGCAATGTATCACTGTGCCTACACAATGCAGACAGATTTCAGGCTCAGGGGAGGATGGTGGATATTTCTGAGCTGGGACTCTGTGGAATTCCTCTGCATTTTGCAATTGGGGAGTGGGGGTGACTAATACCAGGGAGTCTGCTGCCTGTGACTGACGTAAGATGAGGAGAAGACAGTTGTTGCCATGCTTGCTGTCCTCATGTTCAGTCATAGAAAAGCGTAGGAGCCTTGGTGTTTTCTCCCAAGTTCTTACCTGACCCCACGCTTCCTAGTCCCAGGGGATAAAATGAAGCTGATTGAGGTCACGACTGAAATTATCTGAAGAGAAGAAGAGAGAAGAAACAGGAGAGAGAAGCTCTCCAGTAGCAGGTTCTTATTACACAAAGTCTTTTTTATTACTGTTTAGTAATATTTTCTCTCCTGAGAAAATGATGTGTGCTTTAGCATCATTAGACGCTAGGAAGGAAGAAAGAAGAAAAGAAAGTGAAGAAATTGATATTTTTAAAAATTTGCAATTTTACCTCCTGGGTTTTTTTTAAGAGTTCATAATAACCTTTGAAAGTCTTAACATCCACGGACTTTGTATGGACAGTAGATATGAGGAGGTGAGAATGTTCCCAGCATCATGTGGATTGTGAGCACAGGGTTTGGATGTTCGCCTCCAACACGTGGAGGGAGCGCTAGTGGCCCAGTTGCTAGAACGATACCCTACTAACCCAGAAGCTGCTTCTGTCTGACAATTTGAAGCGACCAGCACCCCTGCTGTAGGAAGCTGAGCAGTCTCTTCCCGCACGATCCACAGTCTTGGGAACCCAGAGGGAGTCAACTGTCATTCAGTTCCAGCTCAGGCAGCGAGCATGAGTTCTGGCACGTGACACGTATATGCTCAGTGGGTATTTGCTGGCTCACTGGATTGGCAGCAACAGCTACTGTGACTGAACCTCTCTCAGTGTATGTTTCTGCAGAACCCACTCTCCCATAAGCCTGTGCCTGCAGCCTCTGGACTCTGAATGTTAAATTCATGCACTCATTCAGATCTCTCCTCATGACCCACTTTAAGAGGTCCAGGGAGTTATCGCTCATGATCTGCTGTGCAGTCAAGAGGATTCTGCAAGAATAAGCCGGCTTAGATGGCCACGCAGGGTTCAGATGAAAGCTGACGAGCAGAGGTGGCAGCTCGGCACCTTGGTGGAAGGTTTTTCTTCGGAAGTTTCTAAAAATAGGGGAGCCTTTCATCTCTGTAGACTGATTGGTCCGTCCTCCTTGCTTGAGTCCAAGTGCCTGGCCAAATGGGGGCCGTGACTTTTCCTGCAGAGGTCAGTCAAATGGGGACAAGCTGTGACTTCCGCTATTGTTCACACTTAAAGGTTGGCTGCGGGAAAGCCTCCACTCACTAGAAGAATTTCTGTGTGTAGCTTTTAAAAATTGGAGAGGAATGTGGCTTTCAGAAAGCCCAGGGCTTTTCGTACCCTGTGGTAGGATTCGATTCCATCAGTGCAGCTTGCTTGCCAGCTGCTAGTGTGAGTAATTCGCCATTCTCTGCTTAATTCAGGGCATTATGTGGCTCAGGGAACAACAGTCTGATACCTACCGCCCTGCTACCTGCTCTACATTTAAGCTGTGTCGTGATCTCTGGAAGTCAAAAGGGGAAGGTGTGTGGAAAGACGTACAATCAAAACAGTCTAGCTGCTGTGGAGTTGATTCTTGACCCACAGTGACCCTCTGTTGGCTTTCCAAGGCCGTAATAGCTGTGATTAAACCACTCCCTCCCCAATACCTGGGGGCCTGGCTCAGAGATGTGTTCGAGTTCCTAGCTTTACAACAGCTCATCCCTATCTCTGGCCTGAACTCAGAACCCCCTCAAACTGCATAGTCTTTTAGAGGAAAATCTATACCTGAATTTTTTTTTTTACCAATGGATAGTCAGTTTATTAAAATAGTTGATTTAGGCATCTGCAATGGTGACTTCAACCTCTACTCCAGGCTCAATGCTGATGGAGGTGATCTGCTTGACAATCTCGGAAGGACTGTGTAAGTCAATGAGTCGCTTGTGGATCCTCATCTGGAAACGATCCCAGGTCTTGGAACCTTCCCCACAAGGAGTCTTCCTTGTAGTGATTCTCAGAGTCTTGGTAGGCATCCTGATATACCTGAATTTTTTAAAAACTCTGAAATCCAAGTATCCTCAGATAGTGAGCATTTCAGATAATACTCTGAATCCAAACCAAAACAAACTAGTTGCCATGAAATAGATTCCAATTCATGACAACCCCATGTCAAAGTAGAACAGAGGTTGGCTGCAGAAACGGCGGTACATTGACACAGTGAAGTATTATGCATCACTACAGAATGATCAGGAATTTGTGAACTACCGCTCAAGATAGGTAAATCTATAACAAATAATGCTGAATGACATTAAGTCAGTTACAGCAGGACAAGGATAGATAAGATCATAAATATAAAAAGCGAGGGGGAAGTTTATGCAGAGAATCAACCTTGGAGAGTTAACAGCAATGAGAAAGGAGGGAGAGTGTAATAAAAAATTACAAATGAAAATAACTGGAATAATGTCTCACATTTTTGGACTCAAGGAGTCTGAACTCAGGACATCAGAAAGACTGTACACTCTCTGTCAGCTCTAAGGGAAGACTCTATTTTTTTTTCAGCCCCTGGTATCTTGGATGTGCAGACATTCCCAATCTTGTGCATTCCCTTTATCTCCACATACTGTCTGACTTCCCTGTTTCTGCCTCTGCCTCTGCCTCTGTCTCTGTTCCTGTTCTGTCCTTTTGGAAGATAGCATTGAAGTGTAAGACTAGGGCTCACCTTACTCTGCCAGAACTCACTATCCTTCCTGGTGATACAGAAAAGAAGAACCCCAGCAAGGTCACACTCACAGGTGCAAGATTCCAGACTTACTTTTTGGTGTACATTAATAGAGACTTAATGCCCACAGCTCAGTCCATAACAACCATGGGCTGGTATGTCTGTTCTATGGGGATAACTGTGCGCTCATGGATTTTATGACTACTTTGGAGCCCATTTGGAACATCATGATGTTATTTCTCCTTTTTTTCCAGAAACACGGGAATGGGCAGCCAGCCAGCATGCCAGAATACAATGCCCCAGCCCTGCTGGAGCTGGTGAGGGAGAAGGAGGAGCGGATCCTGGCCCTGGAAGCCGACATGACCAAGTGGGAGCAGAAGTACCTGGAGGAGAGCACCATCCGCCACTTTGCCATGAACGCAGCGGCCACGGCTGCAGCTGAAAGGTGAGGCCAGCTCAGCGCTGGGATGGGGAGACCCTGCGAGTCCAAAGGGCTTCAGATAGGAATGGCATTTGATCAGCGTTCACTCTCCTAGGGGTATAAAAAAACAAGAGATGGGGAACCAACAGATATATAGCCACACCTATGTTTGTTGGGACACTGTTTATAATAGCAAAGAGTTGGAACCAATCCCACTGTCCATCAGCAGACAAATGGCTAAAGAAACTGTGGTAAATTCACACAGTGACGTATTGTATTTCAATAAAAAAGTGACCAAGAATTTATGAAATACTATAAAACATGATGGATCTAGAGTTTCTTACCACTGTACTGCCAATTCCAGGATACTCAGTTTAAATCTAGTAGCCACTCCACAGGAGAATGATGGGCCATGCCATGTGATTTACTGCCTCTGAAAACTTGCTGGAGGGTCAGCTCTTGACTCTGCAGAACATTAAGACAACAACCCTGTGTCAGGCACATTTAAGGTTTTGAGGATGTAACACTGAGCAAAAACACACAGCGCTCCTGCTGCCAAGGTTCTGACATGTTAATCAACTCAACACATGGCTGTTGAGTTGGGTCCAGCTCATAGCCGATCCTCCAGGGGATGCCGTGAATCCCACAAGAGGAGAATCTGATGGATTTGAACCTTGTGCCTTTGGGTTGGCAGGGTAACTCGCTACCACTAGGCCACCAGAGTTCCCTGACATTCTAATTGTTGTGATACTAAGTATGACTTATAGCAACCATATGAACAATAGATCTGAATCCTGTCCTATCCTGCACCATCCTCACTGTCTCTGAGACACGTGAGTTCATTCCTGAATTCAGTGCATTTTTTTCTCTTTGTTTGATCCTCTACCTTTCCAAGAATGATGTCCATTTCATGGAATAGCCTCTTCTAGCAACATGTCCAAAGTGTGAAGCTTTGACATTCTAGTAGAGGGAGAGAAGCAAAAAAACAGCCACAAAAATGGCAGGTGGTGGTTTATCATCCAAACCAATTCTCTATTGAGTCTGAAAGTGGAAGTTATTCATACTGTTGCAGAGACAACAGGTGTAAACTGGGCTGTACTGGACATCTGGTCACTCCAAGCTGGAATAAAAATAGAGGGGGAAAATATTAAAAAGTTTGAAGGATCTAGGAAATATTATACTGAGTGACATAAATCAGTCACTTTAGAGGGAGGATGGGCCATCTGCCATGCTGTTTACAGCCTCCATAAAAATCCACTGGAGGGTCAGCTGTGAGTCAGTTCTGATTCAACAGTAATAAGTTTGAGAGACTATTATTATTGTTGTTGTTGTTGTTATTATTATTATGGTATAAGATCACTAGTGTAAAAAAAACCAAGAAGCAGTTTGCACACAGAAAAACCTCAATCATATAGGATTAACTGAGATGAGAATCAAAGGAAAGGGCAGCAAGAACAAAGAATACAGATGAAATGGAAATCAGTAACAGAACACTTGGAGACTTATATTCTAGGATGTTCATCCCAGTGTTGGTGAACATTTAAACCAGCCTAATATCCAACTATAAGGAGTTCATTAGTTAAAGAGACATCTGCACATAGTGGTAACTGTGGTGTGTGTATTAGGCAGCTACATAACTATGGGGATCTCTGGTGGCCTAGCGGTGAGAAGGTGCACTGCAATCCCAAAGGCACGCAGTTCAGATCCATTAGCTGCTCTGAGGGAGGAGGATGGGCAGTCTCCACCCGTGTGATTTACGGCCTCTGGAAACCCACTGCAAGGTCAACTATGGGTCAGTTCTGATTCAGTGGCGCACAACAACATGGTGTCATTATGAATGATGTTGTGAAAGTGTTGTATTGTTTGACTTTCCTTTAACATTGGTTGGGTATGTACCATGAGCCAAATAAGAAGTCTGTTTTAATAGCCTTTTGTAGCAGAAACAAATAATGTTTCTCGGGGTTCAACCAAAACCTGCTGCTATCAAGTTGATTCTGACTCGCAGTGACCCTTTAGGCAGAGCAGAGATGTCCCGCAAGATTCCCATCTTCCCTGAACCAGACGGCCACACCTTTCTCCCTCAGAGCTGCTGGTGGGTGCGAACTGCCACCTTGGGATTACCAGATGTACACTTAACTGCTGTGCCACCAGGGCCCCTGAGAAGGGAGCCATTTATCACATTGATAATAGATGTGGAACCACATGCCAGTCTAGCTCTGTCTTACTGCAACCTGTATTCTCTAGTTTGAAATTGTTTTCTGCAGCTGTCAGTTAATACAATTGCTTTTTCCTTATTTGTAAGAGCATAGCCTTATTCTTTAAAAAAAAAATTAAAAACCTGGTAGCTCAAAATGTGCCATAAAATCCACAGAGTATCTGCTAAATTGGACTGTTTGAGCAAGCACGGTCATTTCCCTAGACTACTGGCCCTCGTGTGCTGCCTTTGCTGCTGCATGGCTGGGAGTGCCTGAGCAGCCACCAATCAGCATCCTTGCAGCCTCCCACCCAGCATGCTTTTTGCCCATAAGTTACTTTGAGTGTATTACTCTGTGGTGGAATTCACCACAACTGAACTCTTGAATAAGGCCTAACTTTGAACCATTTGGGATGCTGATGTTGTTGTTATGTGCCATCAAGTCAGAATCAATTCATAGCTGACCACTAGTGGGATTTTAGAGGCTGCAGATAGCACAGAAGGAAATTGCCCATCATTCTCATCTAAAGAAGCTGGTGGATTCGAATTGCTTGTCTCTCAGTTGGCAGCGGAATTCCTTACCCACTGGGCCACCAGAGCTCCTTGTTTGGGATAGTAGGATTTGAGTTAATCAAGTAGCAAATTAATGATGCAAACCAATTATACAGTCAGTACTCTCCCCTCCTTGGAATGTATTCTTTTTTTTATTTTTATTTTTTCATTAATGACACAAGAAAGTCTGGGGATGGGAAGACACCTCATAGGCTGTCATGGGCTCTGGAGTTCACATACAGAAGGATTGCTGGCGGTGTGTGCCCAGATGTTGCCTCCATTTTCTGGAGAGAAAGCAGCAGCACACAGCATGGCATGGACACCTCACTGGGCACCTGGGCACCCTCGCAACCAGAAAAAACTCACAGGCATTTGGGAATCACTTCTCCAGAATGCAAGTGCTGTGTTTATGTACATCTGCGCTGTGAAAAAGAACAACTCACTCTGTTTTGCAAGGCGCCAGGAGCTGGTACAGACATTGAGACATCTGATGTGTGGCAGAGGCCCAGAGAGGAGGTCAGAGAGTTAAGGGAAGCTGTGTTCTGGAAACGGAAGTGGCGCCCCAGCCTCCGGCTTCGTCCCTGCTCTGCAGCCCTTTGATATGTTTGATAACTTGTGTTGTTATATGCCATCAAGTCAGAACTAACTCAGAGCTGAACCTCCAGTGTCTTTTCAGAGGCTCTAACCCTCCTTGAAAGATACTGCCCATCTTTCTCCTACAGAGCAGCTTATGTTTTCAAATTGCATGTCTTGGGGTTGGCAGCACAACTTCTTACCACTAAGCCACCAGAGTGTCCTTGCTAACTTCCACATAATTGAAAAAGTTTAGTGTTTGCTTTATAAGGTAATCATTGAGCCCCCTCTCAGTTCTGACAAAGAGGCCTCTTGACTGGATACGGTGTCATGCTGGCTGCCCTTGCTGCTGGACAGAGCCTGGGTGAGACTATGGGATGCTCCAGTCATCAAGGCTTCCCCTCTGTCTTAAGAAAGAGAGTGTGAGGCTGAATAAGCCTTTCGGAATAAGCTGCCTCATGTGTGAAATGCGGGATTTCTATTCTTGACTGGTTAAGAGCAGGGAACCCCTTGTCATATCTCCGGCTAAGGATTCTGAAGCTCCAATAGGTTTGTCTTAGCTCCTGTTGATTTATTGAACTATATTTCTACCTATACTTAATCTGGGGTCCAAGGGAGTAAATGAGATTGGAATGTAAAATCAGAAGCAGGGATGTGGACAGGTCTGAAGCACAAACCCCTGTGGTGGGCTAGGGCCTGATGAGGGTGGAGTGATGTTGGTGAGTAAACCAGACAGACCCCAAACAATCACCCACTGCTGCTGTTCTGTGCATCCTTCTGCAGGGAAGATGAAGAATTCTATAGAATCTATCCAAGTCTCTTGTTCTCCTGCTTTTGTCAGGGGTATTGAGTCGTGTCTGACACACAAGAGAAGCCATGCCAGAGTAGAACCACCCTGCAGTGCTTCCTAGTTTGGGGTCTTCATGGGCGTGGATCCTATCAAGAAATCAAGGGTCCTTTTGAAGAGTAGAGGTGTGAATTCATGTCACCAGGGATTTATTCAGTTGTCAAGGGCTTCACTTTTGTGTCACCATGGATCTTATTGTTTTTCTCCTGTGCTGGCTGCTAGGAGTAGGAGCTGAGTAATTGGACATAGGAAGGGATGGATGGATGGATGGATGGATGGATGGGTCGGTGGATGGGTGGGTGGGTGAGTGAGTGGAGTCGCTTTCTGCTGTTCTCGTTCACCACCTCTTCATCTCTACATCTGTTTATTATTGATCCTTGGATAATTCTATGGAAAATTACCCTGTTACAGCCACTTCTTATATTCTCAAAACACGTTCAGAGAAGGTCAGGTTTTATAACTCTAGTCTTAGCTGTTCTTTTTCAAAGAAAACCTTTACCATTTAAGCATTACCGGAAGAGGAAAGAACAGGAAAATAAGGAATACTTTAAAAGGTCAGAACTCTGAGCTTTTAGTATAAATGCCAAATGGCTGCAGACGAATTGACAGAAGCAGCATTTTCAGCCAGTTGCTTGCTACATTGTCATGAAATAACACATATGTCACTTTTATAAAGCAATGATTTTTAACAAATAATTTTTGTGCATCAATTGGTTTTACTATCTATGCGTTTGGGGGCTATTTGCCAGATTTTGAGAAGTTTGAGGCTATACTTGAGGAAGATTTTGCAGCTTTTTACTATTTGAGAAGACTGTCATTTCTCTCCACATTTGTGTGTTGCACTTCTGAGTTATTTTCCTCTGTGCCTGCTGTCCTTACTTGGCAATGTAAACACGGATTTTTAAAATTTGTCTCTAACCCTGAGCAAATAATCTAAAAGCAAACTGGTTGAAAATGAATGCTGTTACTCCTTAATTCCTGAATTTATGACATTTAGGATATTTAAAGTCTTTTAGTTGCTCTTAACATTATTTAGGTATATGAGCTATTTTCAGCCTTAATTTTGTTTTACTCAGCCACAGTCTCTCAGTGTAATTTTGCTGTTGCCCAGGCTGTTTGCTGAGGCCTCCAGGGGTGCAGACAGCAATGAAAGGTGTGTGTGAAGTCATAAGCATGTGCATTTTCATCCACTTCCAGCATTCACTCACCAAGTGTCCTTGGAAAAGTCACTTCTTCCCTGCTTATTCATCAGCAAAATGAGAATAATAATAACTGCTTCCTAAGTTGTTGTTCAAAGTCAGTGAGATGCTATGTGCAATATGCTCTGCTCAGTCCCTGCCATCAAGGGGGGAGCTCTGGCGACACAGTCCCTAGGGAGTAGTGCCACTAACCCAAAGGTGACTCCTCTCTGCCGGTTCCACTCCAACAGCAGCTCCACAGGAGAACAGTGGACAATCTCCTCCCAGCCTTGGAAATCCTGGCTAAAGGGTCAGGTATGAGTCAATCCTGATTTGACAACAATGAGGGAGAAGTGGCATCAAATAAATGCTTAGTAATTGAGAAGTCTCATTGAAATGGATTTTTTTAAAGCCCCCTTTTCTCTCTGTTTTGGGATATCTTAGAGAAGATTACGAATTCAAATATGATTGTAACACAGGGAAACTGAAAACATTTCCCTTGTGAACAGGGACCGGACAAGGATTCCCACTGTCACCACATTTATTCAGTATTGGAAGTACTTGCCAGGGCAGTACAACGAGAAGGAAATAAAAGGCATCCAGATCGACAAAGAGATTATTAAACTGTTGCTATATGCAGATGATATGATAGTTCACAAAAACAAAACAAAACAAAAAAAACCCCAAGGACTTGACAAAAAACTGTTAGAGTTGATAGGACAGTTTATAATAAAGTGGCAAAATACAAAATCAATATCCAAAAAATCATTGGGATTCCTCTACAGCAACAAAGAGAACTCCAAGAAGGAAACCAAGAAAGCAATACCATTTATAATAGCCAGCCACAAATTGAGATACTTGGGAGAGAACCTAACTAGGCACAAAAGACCTGTACAAAGAAAACTACAAAACATTTCTGTGAGACACAATAAAAGACCTAAAGAAATGGGAAATGTGCCCTGATCATGGATAGGAAGACAGAATATTGTGAAAATGACAGTCCTATCAAGAGCAAATTATATGTTCAACTAAATCCCAATACTGATACTAAATGCATTTTTAAAGGAAATAGACGGGGAAATTGTCAAGTTTATTTGAAGCGGAAAGAGCCCCAAATAAGCAAAGCACTTCTGAAAAACAAAAATAAAGTGGGAGGCATAGCACTCCCTGACCTCAAGACCTACCACACCGCGGTAGTAACCAAAACAGCATGGTACTGTTATAGTGACAGCCACATAGACCAATGGAACAGAACTGAGAACCTAGAAATGGACCCAGCTATCTGTAGTCAACTGATCTTCGACAAGGAAATAAAATTTATCAAATGAGGAAATGACAGCCTCTTCAACAAATGGTGCTGCTGGCAAAACTAGACTATTGCCTGCATAAAACTGATACAGGATCCACATCTTACATCATACACAAAAATCAACTCAAGGTGAATCAGAGACCCTGGAGTAAGGCCAAAAACCATATAGTTCATCAGAGACAAACTGGGATCAAGCTTCAAAAGCTTAGTCTACAGTGTAAAGAGACTGCCAAATACAGCCAGAAATGCTCAGCTTGGAGAGGATAGAATTGGTGAATGGGACCTTCTAAAGATTAAATCTTTGCGTGCATCAAAAACTAATATGTGATTAGGTATTTTTGTCATGACATGAGTCCAGACTGAAGGCTGCATAGTGGAGTGGACTTGGGGGGAGAGATTGTATAACAATGAAAGAATTTTTCTTTTACTTTTCAAAGAGAAGAACAAACTGGAGGGAAGGGGTGGGCAGGGAGAAAAGTGCAGCAATGAATGAATGGAAATCCAAAATTTCTGTAAATTTTCATTAAAATTAATATTTTTTTTTAAAAAAAACTTTTTCCAACAGAGTGAAAAATAAACCTTCTGATTGGGGAAAAAACATTTGGCAATACCATTTCAGAGAAAGGTTTCACATCATATCAAAAGTCTGCAGAATCCTACAGGGCCTTCACAAGAAAAAGATTGATCACACAATTAGAAAATGGACAAAAGACATGGAAAGAATTTTCACAGAGGAAGATATTGAGATGGCCAACAGACAAAAGAAGAAAAGCTCAAAATCACTGGCAGTAAGAGAGATGCTAATCAAAACCACAGTGAGATACCATCTCATTCCAGTAGCAGTGGCAAAGTTTAACAGGATAGCAAGTTATAAATGTTGGAAAGGATGTGAAGAAATAGGAACCCTTATGCACTGTTGATGGCATTGTAAAATGGAACAACCACTCTGGAAGGCAGTTTGGCCTTTCCTCAAAAAGCTGAACATAGAAATTCCATATGACCCAGCTATTCCACTCCTTGGAATATATCCCAAGAAAATGAGAACTGAGGTGAGGCACAAAAAGAGATTTGTACACCAGTATACATAGTGGCGTTATTTTCACAAGAAAATGGAAAGAGCCCAAATGTCCAACTACAATAGAATAGATTGAGGAATTATGGTACATACACACGATGGGATACTACACAGCACACAGGAGCAATGGTTTTGTTAATCACTACCTAACTTGGGAGGGACTGGAGAGCATTATGCTAAGTGAACTAACTCAGTCCCATAAGGACAAATACTATATAAGACCATTATTGTGGAAATAGAAAGATAACTAGTAAAACATATATGAGGATCTAAGGGGGGGAGGGGAGGAAAATAGGTGTGGGGACGGGTAAGGGAGTAATCATAGAGTCACTCAATTTGATGAGTGGAAGGAGGGGTGGGTAAAGGAAATGGGAAAGATCTGGTGTGAAAAAATGTACACGGACTTTGTAAGTAAACCATTATAAAATAAAAACTTGATTTAAAAAAATATATTGTTTTAAAATTATTTTAACATTGCGATGTGAAGCAGAGAATGTGAAATGTTTGGCTGAATCATTTCTCATTAATTTAGTACTCACATAATGAGAGATATTGTGCCTCGTCGCCTAAGATGTATCACTTAGATGGCACAATTATTTTATTTTTGCTGATTGTTGTTAATTAGGAGCAATTACACTGACAAAACTGTGACAGGAGTAGTTCTTTTTGACCAGTTGTTTTCTGTAAGCCATCTGCTTCCAGCTAACCTGCTTTGTAAGCTCTCGCCATGCCTGCCCCCTCTCCTCACTCGCCCAGCTTCGCCCAAACTTATCCTGCATGCACTGAGTGCCCCTCTTTCCACCCTGGCCTCAAGCATGTTTGTTACTCCAAACAGACCTGAATCCTCAGCAGCAGCCCGCATGCAAGGCATACGGTAGATCCTAAGTGTGAAGGGGGGCTCTGCCTTGGAATCCCACTGCCTAAGAGGACCACGGTCAGTTTCAAATGCTTGCTGAGCCCTCGTTTTACTGTAAAATACTGGAGTAACTGCCACACGGTGATACGTAGAAGCAGAGTTTTGACTCTGGGATCAACAGCTCATTTCATTGTTGTCACATTGGAACCAGTTCAAAGCTGACCCTCCAGTGGGTTTTCAAAGGCAATAAATTGTGCAGGAGATTACCCATCTTGCCCCTTCGAACCAGTTGGTAGATTTGAACTACATGTCTATGGAGATGCACCAATAGAAGTACATGCTCCTTTCCCACCAGGCCGTCTGGGCTGCCTAACTCTGAATGGGAAAGAAAAAGAAATATGAAAGCGTGCAAGCATAGAAAAGAGGGTCAGTGGTCAAAGGTTAAGTACTCAACTGCCAGCTAAAAGGCTGATGGTTTAAACCTGCTCTGAGGGAGAGAGAGCAGGCAAACTGGTCCTGTAAAGACTGCAGCCGAGGAAGCCCCATAGGGCGGTTCTTCTGTCATGGGGTCACTCTGAGCCAGAATCAGATCGTTGGTCCACAGCAATTACCGGTGTAGAAATACCAGCAAATATTGTAATAGTACTAACCGTAGTCCTAATATTCACATGTGAGTAGATTAAAGCAGTTGATGTAGAATTTCCATGTTTTAAACATGCCAGATAGCTTGATACAGGTGATCCCCAAGTTAGGACAGATGTTAGATACTAGCAGCTACATTGGTGACCATCTGCTGTTTTGTTTTGTTTTTTGGGAAGCTTTTGAAGCATAGCTTACTGTTACTAAAATGTAGTGCATGCAGTGTTACAGTACTTAATTTGTTGGCGTTAGTCAGATTTTCAGATGTGGATGTTCGCTGTCATGATTTCTTGTTCAAAGCACTTCTGTAGAGAAGACTATGAAATGCTTAAAAAAGAAAAGGTATTTGACTTAGATCAGTGCAGGCTTTGAGATCCATTCATTCGTTGGAATGTTAGCCCCCTAGGAATGTTTACACTGTATGCCGGAAACTACCTGTTTATGGACTGATTAGGAGGGCTAGGGAATTTTAATACTTAAATTGTGTTTTGTTTTCTTTAGATATGATCTTGTTCTAGAAGCTTAGGAAGAGAATGTCCGGAATGTGGAGATTTAGGGAAGGGAAAGTGGGTGCACGCATGTATCTCCCCACCAGCGTCTGGAGTCTGACAAGGTAGCACCAGAGCTGGGGAGGCAGATGTGGAATATTTGTCAGCCAGTGGGAGAGTGGGGCAGACTTCTGTTCCCAGATGGATGCCAGCCTCGATCTGACTCTGTGGTGGACAAAGCAAGGCCTTCCTGTGACCGGTGTATGTCCTGTGTTGTCAGGGACACGACCATCATCAACCACTCGCGGAACGGCAGCTACGGCGAGAGCTCACTGGAGGCCCGAATCTGGCAGGAGGAAGAGGAGGTGGTGCAGGTGAACCGGAGATGTCAGGACATGGAGTACACGTAAGGATGGCTGTACAGAACCTCAACCCCCACCTTTACACGCTCGCATCCCAGCCCCCTCCGGAGAAGGGTGGCCACTGCTGCCCTGTCCAACTCTGTGGCCCTCAGCAGAGGGGCTGGTGCTGCAGTCTCCTGGGGAGGCTCTGGGATGTTGGTGTTAGGTGCCGTTGAGTTAACTGCACTCATAGTAACCCTGTGAACTTGGCACTGCCTGCTGTGGTCGAGCCCGCTGGTGCAGTCAGTGCCCTCCTCCATCGGATCGAAAGCCTTCCTCTCTCTTACTGAGCGTATTAAATGCCATGTTAAAATGGAGGCTGGTTCTAGGACCAGCGGACCATAGACTTGGGGGTTCTCAAGATGACTGGCATAAAACAGTCCCGGAGACAATGTTCCACAGCCCACTTTGGTGAGTAACAAAATTTTGTCTTAGGAACTTGACAGTGGCCATGTAAGTTGCAACTCTTGGCTTCTCTCTGTCCAAAAAAAAGAAAAGCAAAAGTGTCCTGAAACAATTAGTCTAAAAGTGAATGAGCTGCATGAGTCTGAACTCACCGACCCTGAGACCAGAAACACTAGATGGTTCCTGGCAACCACGGCTGCCTCTGACAAGGGGTCACCATAGCAGATCCTGTATAGACGGGCAGGAATGTGGAAGCAAACTCAGATACATAAGAAAGGCCAGTCTTAGTAAGAGACTGTGGGACCCTCATCACTATGACCCTTAAGTGACCTTTTGAACTTGAAACAAATGTCACAAAAGCAAAGACTTTTAGCCAAACAGTAGCACCAGGGAGGCATTTACGTGTTAGAACAGCCAACCACATAAAGCCAAAAGAGTAGCACTTTCCTGAGATAAAGCCCTGAAGGCTCTAAAGGGTAGGATAATAAGACTAATGGAAATGGGAATTACAGAAGTGTGGTTCCATGTAAGGGTTGTAATTAATGTTCTAAAACTAAATGTGTGTGACTGAAAGATCAGTCTGCTTTGTGAACTTCCACTCAAATCAGATTAATAATAATAATTTTTAAAATAGTGAGTCTAACAACAGAAGAATGTAGATGCCTGTGTCATTTTCAGGTGTCTCTCTTTACAAACATCTGAGGAGCTGGAAGGCAGCAACATCAGACTCCAGACTTGAAGGGGTTGTGGTGGTTTGGGGTTTTTTACCAGAAATTCTATATTGCAGCCATATATAATATTGTGCATGCGAGCTACTGCATTTTTATGCATTAAATAAGATTTCTAGAGGCAGCTAACATGGAAAAATTTCTCCGCCCCACCCCAACACCCTGCCTCTGAGGATCTTAAGCCCTTATTTTATAGATTTTCTAGATGTAAGTCCTTGATAGACCACGAGAGTTACTAGCGGAGTTGTGGAAAGACCCCAAATGTTTTCTAGTTTTTTAGTTTTGAACAACTGGTAGGAAATAGGAGTCAGCCTGTCTTCTTCCCAAGAACCTATTTGTCTTATTACTCTCTTAGAAAATTATTTTAGGTAAAAGCTCTAGCCCACTTGAGGCTTCAATATTTATGTGTTTCCCCACTTCTTTCTCCTCAGACGTGCTAGACCCTTTACATAGAGTCCCCAGAGTGGTCCCTGTCATTCTAATTGTACTTTTTTAGGTGCCAAAACATTCAAGTTCTCCAAGGAGCCAGGAAAAAACCTACCTTTTAAACCTCCTCTGGAAAGAGCCATGTTATACAATTCCGAGATAATTAAATGATTCTTGACTTATACTGGCCTTTAGCCCTCCTCCATCCCTGAATTATAATTAAAACTTTATGCAAAGCCTAAGAGAATTTATCTGAGTGTTTTTAACCAAAGAGTTTCTTATTGTGGCTATTTTCTTTTACAGCATTAAAAATCTCCATGCAAAAATCATAGAGAAGGATGCCATGATTAAGGTCCTTCAGCAGCGCTCTCGTAAGGACGCTGGGAAGACAGATTCCTCGAGCCTGCGGCCCGCGCGCTCAGTGCCGTCCATCGCCGCGGCCAGCGGCACACACTCCCGCCAAACCTCCCTCACCAGCAGCCAGCTGGCAGAAGAGAAGAAGGAGGAGAAGACCTGGAAGGGAAGCATAGGTGAGCATGCCTCCTTCAGGCTCAGAGCTGAAAGGCAAGTGCCTTTTCCACCAGAGCCAGACTCATCTGGTGGAAAGAGCCCTAACATAGAAGAAACATCACTGGGTACCTCTTAAGTCTTGGTTTCCACATCTGTAAAATGGGGAAATAGTCCATTTGGTTGTGGGCTATTAAATGGCGTATTTTTAAGTATTCAGTGTTAGATTATGCAATAAACCAGGAAGTACAGACTTACTTGGGCTTATTTGTTAATCTGTAGTAGCACTAGAGACAATATCACCAATGTCAGATAGATCTTGGCAGAAAGCAAAGAGTACCAGAGGGATATCTGTCTGTTTCATTGACTGTGCAAAGGCATTTGGCTGTGTGGATCACAACACATTATGTCTAACCTTGAAAAGAATGGTAATCCCAGAGCACTTGATTGTACTTATGCGAAACCTATACATGGACCAGGAAGCAGTCTGCAGAACAGAGCAGAGAAACACTGCATGGTTCAAAATCAGAAAGAGAGTGCATCAGGGATACATCCTGTCCCCATACCTTTTCAATGTACATGTCGAACAGATCATTCAGAAGGCTGAGCTTTATGAGGAGGAATGTGGCATCAGGATTAGAGGAAGGCTCATCAACAACCTAGGTTATACACATGGCACAACCTTGCTTGCTGAAACTGAGGAGGACCTGAAGCGCTTGCTGCAGAAGGTCAAGGACTGTAGTTTTCAATATGGATTGTAGCTTAACATCAAGAAGACAAGATTCTAACCACTGGACCAATTGGCCGCGCCATGATGGATGGAGAGGAAAGTGAAGTTTTTAATAGTTTTAGCTTGCTCAGCTCCAAAATCAACACTGTTGGCACCAGCAGTCAGGAAATCAAAGGGAAATTGCATTGGGCAAATTTGCAATCAGGGACCTCTCCAGAATACTGAGAAGCAACGATGTCAGTCTAGAGACAAAGGTGTGCCTGATCCAGGTCATGGTCTTTAAGATTACTTCCTATGCATCAGAGAGCTGGTTAATGACTAAAGACAATAGAAGAAGAATTGATGCCTTTGAGTTGCAGTGCTGGAAAAGAGTCTTAAACATACCATGGACTGCCAAGAAAACAAATATGTCTGACTTGGAGAGCGTGAAACCCAATTTCTCTTTGGAGGCTAGCATTTTGAATCTCTGTCTTATATATTTTGGACATATGGCCAGGAGGGACGAATCTTTAAGAGTAAAGGAAATAATGCTTGGGAGGGAAAGCGCAGGAGAGGAAGACTCCGGATGAGTTAGATTGATACAGTGACTAGGGAAATGGGGGAAGGTGTGTCAGGGTCACTGAGACTGGCTCAGGATAGGGCAGGCTTCAGAGCTATTGTACATAGGGTCGCTATGAGTTGCAGGCAACTTTATTGGCACAAAACAACACCAACAACAAGTGAGAACATAAACTCAATGCATTTGAATCAGAACCAACTAGTAGCTGACCCTCTGTTGGGTTTCCTAGGCTGTAAGTTGCACAGAAGGAGATTGCCCCTTTTTTCTGCCTTGGAGCAGCAAGTAGATTCAAAGTGTCAGAGAGCGGCAGGGCAACCATTGGGTTAGCTAACTCCCTGTGGTCTACACCACCAGAGCTCCCTGCTGAACATATAAACTAAAAAAAAAAACATTGCTGTAGAGCCAGAACTCAGAGCTGACTCTCAGCAGGTTTTCAGAGGCTATAAATTGCACAGGAACAGGTGCCCATCTTTTTCCCACAGAGCCGGTAGTGGGCTCAAATTGCTTGCCCTTGAGTTGGTAGTGCAACTTCTTACCCACATGATAAAAAACATGTGAAACTATTAACTGCAGATTAGTAAGTAGCACAGATGAGCCCCTGCCTGCCTTCCTTGTTAGTGTTCCACTCCTTGAAGCACCGTGTAAACTCTATAAGTTACACCATTGGAGGAGTAGCCGTAGGTTGATGCATTTCATAATTATTGTGCTTGTCATGTATCATAAAGTCAGAACCAACCCATAGCCGACCCCTGGGCAGGTCCTCTGAGGCACAGGAGAAGTCTGCCCATCTTCCAGCTGGTGGACTTGAACTGCATGCTTTCACGATAGCAGTTTAGCTTCTTACCACTAGGCCACCAAACATTACTAGTATTATTATTGAAAGTGCGGGCCACTTTAACAATGGGGGAAACCGAGAAATCTCAGGCCTCTGAGCTTGGCTCTGCCTAGGCCGGTCACATGATGCACCCCTCTGCCTCTCTCTCTAGGAAAGGAGCTCAGTGTTGGCCCTGTGCTCACCCTATGAGGCAATGATGAGTTAGTGGGGAGAACACATTTGGGCAAAGCGCTCTGAAATGTACGGGGTAATGGCTGTGCCTGTTGTATTATGGCCAGATACTGAAGAAAACTGGGCAAGTGTGGTCTTAGCCATGAATGGGTTTCCTAGAGTGTGGGGGGTGGGCGGCTAGTTGACCTACTAGGAGAGGCTCAGAGGAAGTTGTGCAGCCAGAACCTGTTGTGGGCAGGATTCCCAGGCACACATCTCTCCCTTCCCTACACTATGACAGCTCAGCCCTTTGATGCATTTCCCTGGGTCACTGTGTGTTTTGTTTCTCTGTGGAGCTGAGAGCCAGCTTTCCTGAGCACAGGACTACAGAGGAGCTGGCTGTTTGGTGCCAAAGGGTTGAAAAGAACCTCAAGTATGCACCCAGCTGGGTCAAAGAGATCAAAGGCTTCAGCCAGAGCCTCTGTTTGAAGTCCCTTTAGCATGAGGTCACCTCAGCATTCCCTGTGCTCAGAGGAAATGCACTTCAAAGAGGATATGCTTGGACAACAGATGTGATCATCACAAACCCTCCAAGGGCACTCCAGATCCGAGTCAGAGCTCCCCCCACCCCCAAGCCTGGTTACAGTGACTGAAAATGGGTCAGGTCTAATGGAAACCTCCCTGGGAGAAACCAGTGGGTCCTCCAGCCAGGCTGACCGCCTGGGGAGCTCTGATGGCCAGTCACTAGGGAATTGTGCTGCTAACCCCAAGCCTCACCTCTGGAGATTCAAATCCTCTGAGAGAGGAAGATAGCAGCCTCCTCCTGTGCCATTTAAAACCTTAGAAACTCAGTAGGGTCAGCTAAGAGTCAGAATGACTGACAGCAGTGAGAGAACATCCCGGCTGAGGAGCCTGAGCTGCATGAAGAGTCACTGGGGTCACTGCCCTGGCGTTTCTCCCCTTGCTATGGACTCTGCTCTGATCCGTACCTGTGTGTCACACAGGTAAGGACCCTCTAGTGGCAAGAGAGAAATAAAGATGAGGAGAAGAACTGTCTGAAAGAAGTACATGATTAGACATTATATGCATGAAAACAATTTGGAACCAGAGGTGCATTGCAGAGTAGACTGGGGGGGAGGAGGAAAATGTGTACCAGTGTATGAATAAAATGAATTTAAAAAAAATAGAGGAGAAAAACATATATGTATGGACCACTGTGTGGTTTGCTAAAAGCTTCCCTACCTCGTCCCAGTGTCCTCTGGAAGGAGGTGCAGATGACAGCTTGCTCAGGGGTCCCCAGGTGAGATGCACTCTTCTGCTCAGCCTGACAGACCCCACAGAGCGTCACTGTCAGGCCTGGGCTGCTGTGAGCAGGGGACACAGTGGAAGGCATGTACACACATTGAAATCTCATTTCTGCTCCATCGAGCCATGAGCTGTTCATTTCCCCCCAGCTTCCGTGGCCTTACCTGTAAGGCAGAGGAGGACAGCGCCATCGGAGTGTTGTGGGATGTACATTGAGATGATGTGCAGGATGCGGTGGGTGCAGAGACACCCACCACACCAGGCGTGGTCCACAGACGGCCACAGCTGCAGCGTCTTCCTCCCCGAGCTGGGAGCTTGTGGGACATTTCAGTGACTGTGGTGATGATGGTGGTGTGTTACATGCTATCAAGTCAGAACCAACTCACCCAACCCTTCAGCAGGTTCTCAGAGGCTAGAAATGGCACAAGAGGAGATTGCCCATCTCTATCCCTCAGAACAGCCAGTGGATTTTGGAAGGAAGGAGAATTTACAGGGAGTGACCAGGCCTCTTTTTTTATTCCTTTGCGATTTTGCCATAATAAGTATTTACTGAATACTTGGTGAGAATAGCAGGTAAAGAGTAGTGCCACCACCACAAAGGTACATGGTTCGAATCCATCAGCCTCTGCGCGGGAGAAGCATGCATGATCTCCTCCCAAATGATTCATGGCTGCTAAAAGCCCGCCAGAGGGTCAGCTCAGAGTCAGTTCCGACTCAATGGCACATAACAACAAACAGTTGGTGAACTAGTGGATGATCAAGTAATCCTCAATCAAGAAGAAACTGACATTCAAAACTAGGGCGGTTTTGTTTTGGTTTGTTTATTTGGATTTTGTTGGGTTTTTGTCTTGGGAGTTTGTTTTTGTGGAGTATATTTTAAAGCTGGCATTGAAAGGGCTGTTCTCGCACCTCAGGACTGCTGCTGGGGAAGGAACCCCATGACCATTCCTTGGCCCCCGCTCTGCCGACCCCCCCTGCTGCGGCACTCTCTCCTCCAGCGTCCACCACGTCAGCCAGCAGTGCCCACGCCAAGACGGGCAGCAGGGACAGCAGCACACAGACGGACAAGGGTGCTGAGCTCTTCTGGCCCAGCGTGTCCTCCCTGCCCACACGCAGCAGGCTGGGCATGACTCCCTCCAACAGCCCCATCCTCAAACACCCAGCGGCCAGGGGGCCCGGGGAGAAGCTGGGTATGTGGTCCCCTCCTCGTTTACACACTCCCAGTACCCTCTGCTTTATAGTTCAGTTGAGGAGGGTATGGGAGGGCTGGTCGGCTCTCACTGTTGTTTTCTTTAATATAATTACTGCTCCCTGTATATGCTGGACTCTACTGCACACTCTTTATTAGTACAATCAACTTTGGTCACTCCGAAGTCATTTCAGATAAGAGTGCAGCTGCATCTACCCTTTATAACTAACCCATCCCTGGAAAGGGCGAGAGTGGATCCTGGGCGATGTTAAAAAACTGGTCTCCAGGATGTTCAGGAGTTAGTATTGGGCACAAGAAAGAGCCCTGGTTATGCAGTGATTAAGCACTTGGCCACAAACCAAAGGCTGGCGCTTCCAACACACCCACTGTCTCTGGGGATCCGGATCTGGTGCTCTGCTTCCCTAAAGATTACCACCAGGGACACCCGATGGGGCAGTCCATTCTGTCATGTGAGTTCCCTGGGAGTTAGAATCAACTAGAATAGCACGGACAGCAACATTTAGGCGCCGAGTACTTCAAAGGCACCAGAGACATTGCCTTGACGGTGCTTACATGTTAAGGTTTCAGAGTTGCTCAGTGGGGAAGATCTTGATTAGAGAAGCGGTAGATTGAACTGCCAAGTTATCAGACTTCTGCTAGAGCCCTCAGACCAGTGCCGGTCAGAGGCTTTATTAGCCATGTAGTCTGTCGGGAGTTGTGCCTTGGGCGGGTTGCACCCAGCAGTGGCTCTGTGGAAGACAGATGGACCGCTTCCTCCCATGTGATTTACAGCCTTGAAAACTGACAGAAAGTCAGCTGTGAGTCAGTTCTGACTTGACGGCAGAGAGAGGAGAGCGGACAGGTCAGAAGGGCCACTGGGCTGGGTCTAGCAGTGTCCGGGGAAAGAAAAGGTTTAGCTTGGAATTCATCAGCATCACCTTTTCAAGAATATCTTTTGCAGAGATAAGGGCTCTTTTGTACATAAAGTAACTTTTCTCCAAGGTGGTGTTTGGGTTGTTTGTTTTTTGTTTTTTTTGTGGTTTTTTTTTTTAATGTTAACTTTCCACGATGTAAAAGTTAATATATAGTGCGGTCTTTTGGGGAGTTTGAATCCTTAGGATAAATACTCAAAGTAAAAAGTAAACCAAGGAGCATATAAAATACACCTGGCAAATGCAGTGAACCTGTTTGGATTGAATGAGCAGAGGGTGAGTGTGTGAGGTGCTCCCCACGAAGTCCCAATGGTCCCTTCGCCTGCTAACGCTTTCCCATTAGTGTCCTGATGCATGGGTAGTTTTTATTTGAGTCTGAATTCCAGGACCAGCCACTGTGGATGCTTCTTAACACTTAGCTGCTTTCCACTCTGGCCTTGATTATATGTGACCTCTCACTCCAGATGAGTAATAGAACGTGCAGTGACTCCATCAGAGAAAGATGGTGAGCCAACACCCCTCTTAAGGAACTAACTCCCACGCTGTTCTTGTTCTATTTGACAGAAAACTCTCCTGGCCACGGGAGGACCCCCGACCACAAAGGCCGGGTCAGCAGCTTGCTCCACAAGCCCGAGTTCCCGGATGGAGAGATGATGGAAGTCCTCATCTAACTCTTCCCACCAGGCTGGATTGCATACTAAACATTGACAAACAAGGAAAGTGACAGAGAGGGACAAGGAAGGGCCTGAAGGTTGTGGGTGGGGAATTCAGAACGATTTGAACAGATGAAGCTTTTAGATTAGTAGGTCACCTCTTATAAATCTTAAATAAAAGAGCAGAAGCAGGAGACCTACATGACTGAAGGGAGAAGAACATGCTATGGATTTTTTTTCTTTTTTTCTTGGCAAGTGGTGGAAGAAAAAAGATGCTGTCACTTTGGAAACAAAGTTAAGAAGAAACAGGAAATGGAATTTTTCATTGTACAGAAAATGTCTCTTTGGGGAGGCTCTGTGTACACCCATTCTCTGGTTATACCAGATAAACCTGAGCATGGATCTTCCTTGGAATCCGCCCCCTCCCCTTCTCCTTGCCTCTTAACATGTTTTATTTCAGAACCTTCTAGAAATCTCTAGAGTCAGTCTTGACATAATGCAGTGTCACCTGAGCCATTCATCGGGTGTCCAACATTATGCGCGCGCGCGCGCGCGTGTGTGTGTGTGTGACAGTGAGAAGAAGCATCTTCAGGTGATGAGGAGTTTTAAAAGTGTTCTTCACATGATGATGCATTTGGCATGGGTTTTCCGATGATTAGGCTTCATAGATTTTCTGGAGTCAGCAGTATTTTTTAAGCAGAAAAAGTGTTGAGATCTCTTTGTTCATCCTCCCTGACTTCTCTCCTCCGACCCTGTTTTTGTTTCACTCTCTTTAATTTTCCCTTTTTTTTCCTTCTTAATTAGACAGGGTGGAGCTCTCTAGGCATTGGTTATATGAGAGCGTCATCTAAACTGTCCTCGTTCCTGCTGTCTGTAACAACAGTGACCGGTTGGACAGAGCCATGTGCTGGCTAAATGATGTCTCCCTCCCTCTCTGTGTGGTTGGAGTGCTGCTGTGACGTCGGTGGCCTCAGACGGGGCTCCACTCACTGAGACCTCTTACATTAATTCATAGCACTTGATTTTCTCTCACATCGGCTGTCCTCAGAGGAGTTTGAGCACTCCTAGCCCATTGCTGTTTTGAGCTAAGTCTCTTTCCAGTCTAGGTCTCAGGAAGTGATTGCATTACACACTCAGTGGTCTGTCTGCACAGCATCCTGAGTGTCACAGGACACCCTCAGACCACTTTTGGGCAGAGTTCCCTTCCCCCTGTCTTCTTTGTGTCCACTCCCAGTTGGTATTGATGAAACATGATAGAATATCCATCCAGGAAATTGTGTGTATCAACACATCAGTTATTCTCTGCCATGAGCTTGCTTTATAACTGAATGGGGGAGGGTTTCAGTAGACACTGTGGTTGGGTTTTAGGAGATTTCTATTTGGAGCAACTTATTCAGAGCATGATAGAAGGACCAGGGAAGGACCAGAGGTTAGAGTTAGTGAGGGGGGGGGTCAGCTGGCCCTTTGCTGCAAGTCCTTGGGTTTTAGTTTCCTCTGCAAATACAAAAGATGCTGATGCAAAAGGTTGAAGTTAATCAGGCCATCAGGCACTCTTACAAAGACCTTCCCCTTCCTGATCGACAGAATTTGTGTTTTCTCAAGAGGGAAGAAATAAAAAGTCCCAAGGTATTCTCAAGTCCCACCTAAATAACATGCTTTATCTAAAACAGGAACATTGGGAATTTTTGCTCAGGTAGCTTGTTTTAAGGCTCATCTTCGGTCTATAACCTGCATGACCTTATAGCCTCCCCAAAATTAGAGTTGTAGGAGGATGATGAGAGTGTTGGCTGAAGTGTGGAGAGAGGAAAGCACCAGCTTTGGTCCAGGGCCTCCTGAACCTCTGCTATGAGGGTTACAGTCCTGAAGCGCACACTCCATGGGGCACTGAGCGCGTTGCTCCATTCCTGTTGCCCTCTTGGGTCTAATGTTGAGCATCTGTCGTCATGGAGACTGGACCAGCAGAGCTCCGAGGGGCTGCACAGCTCACTCAGCCTGATGGTGTGGTATGAGCACAGGAGGCCTCCACGGTGGGCTGGGGCTGAGAAATCTCCCCATCTCTGTTCCCCACCACTTTGCATGAATGACAAGGTCCAGTGGACAGCAACTGAAACTCCCTCACTGATATTACTTTGAAGACAGACCATGAAGGAACATGGCTAGAAATCGAGGATGAGGGGGTGCTGCAGCCCAGGTTCTCCTGGACCCCTCTCTGCTTTGGCATGCTAATGGCACACTTGAGTACTAGACTGGCTTGCTCTCATAGGACTCCATGACATGCCAACTTATCTTTAACTGACAAATACAAACCTGAGCACCACTCCCTGGCACCTTCATCTCATCTTTTCTCTGCCTGTCTTGAGAGACTCTTCCTTGAGAAAAGGCATCTTTGCTTGGGGCAGTTTCCTTTCAAACCAGAGCCTTCAACCCTTTCATCATCATCATAGCTCTGTTGGAATTCAGCTTCCCTTTAGGTGGGACTTGAGATTTTAGAGACTTGGCCAGCCTGGGTTCTGAGCAGCTTCTACTATCTCTTTTGATTTTCTAGAAAATCATTAAAAAGTGTATGGGTATATGCTGACTTTGTATGTAGTGAGTACCTTCAAACCACCTAGGAGAAAGAACATCCTTTTCTTTATTCCACAGATGATCAGGCTGGGACTCAAGGAGCCCAGGACTTCACAGCCACAGGCTAGGAACTAAATAGGGATTTGGGAGACGAACTGAACCGTGACCAAAAGGCTGCACTGCTTCGTAGATGGAGATAATCACCAGCTTGTCATACCTGTCTTTGTCCGTGTGTATGTGTGCCCACAGCTGTCATTCCCCGTCCAGGCCAAGAAGTAGATAAAGGCCAAAATGTCTAGGATTGCCCTTGAACATCAGAAGTGGATAGAAAAATTCATTTTCCATTATCAGATTTACAAGAGACTCCTAAAACATGCTTCTGTGTTGTCTCAAGATCTGGACTTCTCCCACACTTTGGAGGGGTGTGACTGTGGGAACTGAAGGTCCTCTATTGGGTGAAGGTGGAAGCTTTGGCTTCGTGTGAAGAGTTTTCAAAGTAACTGCTCTGTCCTTGACTGTGTCGGCTAGAAGTCTCTGTCAGAAGAATGACAGGGAACATGAGCTATGAGACCCAGACCTCTGACCCTCGATTGTTAGCAGAGCAGATGGTCCTCTGTGTGACAACTGTTAATGTCTGCAGGTCTGTAAGGGCTTACTTGTCAGGAAATGCATATGATTTTCCAAAAATATCACAGCAGACCATTACCATATTTCCTTCCCAGCAGTGCTTTGATCTTGCAGAGGTTGGTAGCCATTGACAACATTGAGTCTAGTGTGTTTTCGCTGGGCGTGCAGGGCAGGGCTGTGTGTCCCTCCTGGCTTGAAGTCAGGAGGATGGGGTGATGAAGTCATCCAGGGTTAGTTTCTTCTTCAGGGGTGGCCCTGTGGAGCTCTTGTGTGAATTGAAACTGTAGAGGGGTCCTGTTTTGTCTGGATGTGAGCATTTGTGCCAAATGAGTTCCGAATCTGGAGCAGCAAATCCCGAGGTTACGTTTCTCAGAGGGAGACTGTCAGAGTGCCTACACAGAACACCTGCTTGCTGTTGCCTCAAGACTCCACAGTGGAAGCATACCTCTACCGACTCCTGATAGTTACCTGTTCTCCTTCCCCAGGGCAACCTTCTGAGTTCTTAGCTGCCAGGTGACGCTGGGCTTCTAAGAGGCAGGGAAGGATAAAGAGAGGGCTTAAAAGGTCCCAAACCTTTACACTCTAAAGCCAGAGTCTGTTCAGCCCCTGCACTTGCCAGCTCCTCTGTGAAATGTGTCTCTCTATGTTCTCCGATCCTGCAGTCCTCTCGTGCAGTGGAGTGTTCTCACACTAGTAAGAGGAGGTCCCTTGCCCGTTCTCAGTTGGCAGAGACTGTCCTGTCTTCATTCTTCACATCCCAAAGCCCGAGGCACCTTTGGAACATACATAGTAAATATTGACTTTCTTTCTCTTTTCCCCGCCCACTCTTGATAACTGGTGTGTTTAAAATGTGTTCAGTGTGAGGATTATTTTCTGAGTTTGCCTCTAATGTGCAGTTTCTTGGCAGATGGACCGAACAGTTAAGAAGTTACCAGAAGCTTGGTTAACTAGGAGCATATGAAGGTCCACACTTCAGTCAGTGGATTTCTTCTAGAACGAATGAGTGGCGCTTTTTTGTTGTTCTGGTTCTTGTTTTTCCTTTACCTTTTAAGTAGTAGACTCTTCTTTCATTAAGTAATTTAATTATATAAAGATACGTGTCTATGTAAGTGCATATGTATGCGGTATGATCATAAGGTTATGTATCTAGTTTCTTTCCTGAATATCCAGACGATCCGAGTGTTTTCATCTCGCCCCATATTCCTTGGGAGTGGACACACAGCTACCATAGGGCTGCCCAAGCAGAACCACCACTGGGAACTCCGCTGTGAGAAAGGCCTTCAGGGCCTGGAGAGGTCCTCTGATTAACCTTTGAGATGAGGTGTCTTCGTCCTTTTAGGGTGGACAGAAGTTTTGGAAGCAATCCGAAGTAGTGTGGAATGCAGTTGGAAAATGATGGGCAGTCACTGTCAGTCTCACCATGCTGGCCTCATAACACATCCCCACGATGCTTCTCATAGTGTGTCTTCAGATTCCTAAGCTCTGTCGTGATGACCATGTCAGAGGACAGTATTTATGAGCACCTAGAGCTGCTAGTGGACTTGCTTGTAAACCTGCTGCCTCGTCATGCCTCGTATGTGCTCACATCTCCGCACACACGGTGGACAGAAGTGCATGCTAATTAGCGTAAACACCCAGGAGGTGTTCTGTAAAGCCTGTTAGACTTAAGTGCATGCAGTCGTCATGTTATGCCACAACTGAGGTATTTCTTTGTCGTGAAACTTTGCTTCTTCACAGAATTGAAAAATCCTGCTCTCTGTAAGGAAGTGTGCACACACAGCTTTTCCCTGTTCTCAGAGTTTTGATGCCCCATGACGTGTGTCCAAGTGCTTTCACCCAGGATTCCACTCCCAGATAAGACACCTTCAAGGATTTATTACCAAGAAGAGTGTGAACAAGTCTGCCCACAGTGGTTTGGTTTGAGTTCAGGGTGTTGTTTGTTTTGTTTCTAGTTTTTTTCTTTTTGAGGAAGGACAGTGAAGCCTCCTCCTCAAGGAGGCCCGTGGGGGACCCATGTGAAATTCTGTGGATCGAGGGTGAGCACGCACCTAGTTCTAGCTGATGAGTCTGTAGGTGCGAGCACCGCCTGTGCTCGTTGAGTGCGTGCATTTCTGTGCTTGGTGACCATTACTGTGTTCTTTTCAGGGCACACCAGGACCTGGATGTCATGTTTTGGCATCTTCAAATTGCTGGTCTTTAC